ACTGAGGCAAAAAAGTTGCTGAGTACCTCAGCCTTCTCCTCCTCTGTTCAACAGGCACGCTGTCGCATTTCAGCATTCCCTTTGTGTGGACTGACAAACGGAAGGCTTCTGGCAGTTTGCGTGCTTTGGGTTGGCTGTGTGCAGCTGAAGACCAAAGGTACCCTATAGTCTACTTTTTTTCCTTTGCATATGCTTGAGAACCCATGTATACCAGGTCACTCTATGCCTGCTTTCTCTTCCAAGTGTAAGTCTCTTGGACCATATTGCATGTTGGAAGGTTTACGTGACTTTTTAGTTTGCAATTTGCTTGTGTACTCAGAATATGTTGCATCATTGCAGCAGACAAAAATCACCATCACTCTGTCACCTTTCCTGGCCACTACTCTAAGATATTAACTTGGAATTCAAGGATCAGATCCACAGAACTATCTAGGTGCTTGATTCTCCCTCTAAGGAATTAACATCTAAAATGCCTGTATTGGGTCTGAGTCTTAGTACCTCTTACACATTTTTTAGAAACGATGCATAGTCTACCCATGTATGACAAACAAAATAAAAGGAAAGTCATACAGGAAAGGACTGCAATTCTGATGACATTAAACACAGACCGAAAAAAAGTTCCCTTAAAAGCATCACTGGGTAATGCCAACATGCTGGAAAAATAATTGGCATCTTTCTCTTTTTCCTTTTTTTCCCCACAGAAACAGATATGAAAAATGTAAAATGTCCTTACTTGTGACATGAGCTAGATCAAGAGAGAAGCTCCAGTGAGAAAGGCCACTAATGTTAATTTACATTTTATAATGACTTTGGTACCACTGTGTCTGCCCTCTTTTGTGTTCACTTCCTACTAATTCTCTAATAAACCTAGCTGCTGACAGGAATGCCTGGGAAAGAATGATATGCCAGTCATTACTGCAGGGTATTCATGGAGGGTGAAAGTCATTTTTTTGAAACGAGGCACGACAAAAACACTTACATGCCATACCACCTATACGCTTCATAAGTCCAAGTGTGTGGGCTCAAATAGTACATGGGTTTGAGCACATTTTAAAAGAGGTGAATTTCACACTTAAGTAATTTTTATGTCTGTTCAAGAGTTCAACCTCAGTTACTAAAGATACATTCCCTGGCACGGGCCCAGATTTACATTTGACCTACCTGAGAAATTTGTTGAGATACTGCCTGCTGCATACAGACCAAGAAAACACTCCGTTGTTTCCTGTGAGTGTGGGAGACATTATATTACCCTCCGCTTTTCTACAAGGATTTCCTTCTCCATCATGAATCATACCAAAGCTGAAAAGAGAACCAGGCGTGAAAGTGAAAATCTAGATTAATCAGAAGCAAGACACAATTTGGGGCAGAAGAAACACTCTCTGGGTAACAGTTGTATGTTTGAACTCCACAGGGAATGTGGAATTCATCCCTTTCATTCCAAAGGGATGAAAACACATGTACTGTACAAATTACGCTTAGTATGAAAGAAGCCCCAATTAATAGCATTCAAATTTTATTGTCATCATACACTTGTTTGATGAGAAAAAGATAGTCAAGTTTCAAGGAAGACCCATACTGCTGATGCACAGGAGCTCTGTAGTGTGAGCTAATGACAAGACTGGCACATAAGTACCAAAGCTGCAGGCTGTGTCAGAGCTTTCACAGTTTAACCATTTCTCTTTCCTGAAGGAGAAATGTTTTGTGGTGAGATGGATGGAAGTAGTGGATCTTATGTTCAGTCACACTTGTACTTGCCTATAAATCTGTCAGCTTAAAACATGCATGCAGTCTGAGCCTTTCTTTGCCTAGTGATAACGCCTGTTAACGTGAATGGCATGGAGATCAGAATCTAGGGAAATACACAGCTATAAGAACGTAACTGTCCTCCCTAATAGGAGGAAGAACTACATAGAATCATAGAATCGTTTAGGTTGGAAAAGACCTTTAAGATCATCCAGTCCAACCATTAACCTACACTACCAAGTCCACACTAAACCAATCAAGGGTAGACTAGACTAAACCATGTCCCAGAGTGCCACGTCTACATAGCTGCATTCAATCTGTAGCAAAAGAATTGGGATTGAATGAATAGAATACAAAGTATAAATACAAAAATATGATTCTTTTTCTAATTTTGGCCACTAACTCGCTCTATTATCTCTCTCTATTTATACACCTACTGACGCAATGGGCTCTGAACTCCCAAAGGAACTGTTAAACTTTCAGGTAAACACACAAACTACTTAAAGAAAACCACAAAAATGTATAACAACTGAAGCTACTCAGTGGATCACAGTGTGTGATCTATACAGTGTACAATATTCTCCTACTATGAAATCCTTAGCTTAATATATTCACAGTGCACCTCAACACCTCATTAGCTGCCACATGTCTTTTTTTTCTTCCAGGAATCTCTGTATCACAGAGACTGAATTCTGTTGTCTTACATCACATACCAGGTAGTCGCTGGAACATGAACACAAACGAATGATGATAAAATCATTTTGCATCTGGGGCAGATTTTTTCCAGGAGATAAGATGCATTTTATTAGACAGAAGTATGGAACTGTGGAACTGTACCAAAGAAAGGCTGAATAATGTAAGAATCAAAGGCAGTGGTGAAAAAGAAAAAAACCAACAATAAAAAATTTCCAAGCATATTCTCTCAAAGCAAGTAAGAAAATAAACAGGAAGGAAGGACATTAAGAGACTAAAGGGGATAATTCTTGAAAAATAAGCTATGGGCCTGATTCTCTCCTAATACCAATTGAAGGGCATTAAAAATCTACTGAGGTCAGTGAAATTGCATTAGTGTGACGGGAGGATCAAACAATATATATTTTACATATTTGGTCCCACTGAAAGCATTGGCACGATTCCCACGGGCTTCAGTAGTAGCTGGATTATTCTTTAATTCCTTGTTTCCCTTCAGATGTACAGAAACCTGTGAAAGGGTCACTCATGTAGACATTAGGTCATAGTATATACTGTAGAGCATATTTGTACAATGAAAACTAAATAGTCCTGATTCAGCCATGCAGAATCGGAAGGATTCATGCCTTGACCAAACAGCAGAATATAGTACCACTGGTTTTCAAAGATATTCTGTGCAGTAATGCTGCTGCACAAAATAAAGATCTTATGCCCATGTTTTATCTGACCCTTGATTTCAGGTTTGTACCACATAGAGAAACTACGCTTCTATACTGCCAGTGGTTAGACAGACTCCAGGTTCAGCTATGTTAAAACTGAAAATCAAATGATGCCAAAAGTTGTGAAAAAGTAATTCAAAATGATTTGGGAAAAAAATTGGAGATTAAAACCTAATCATCATCTTTAGATTTAATTCAACAATTCAGAGAATAGCTGAAGCTCCATGGAAGATTATTACTGATTTTGTTTGAGAGACAGCCAGTTCTTTGGAAAATTACAGTCTTATTACTATAGAAATCAAATGAAAATCCAATGGATATAGATACAGAAAGGCAGAAACCACCACAAAGGTTGTTTTTAGCCAAATCATGCATTAAATAGGTAAAGAGAACAAAGAAGGCCAGGTTGAATGGAATGAAGATCCCATGATCCTATGAAACTCCAGGTCTTCTGGGTAAGGGACCTCTAAGAGACTCAGAGAGATCACTTCTCCATACTGTAAGCTGCAGTGTCCTTTCTCTTTTTGGAGCAACCACACTGATTACTAGAAGCAATTTGTCTACCAGAACATGGTAGCAGTGTGGGAAGCTTGTAGATGATTGTTGTCAGCTTTTACTGTTCTAGTTATCACCTGGAACATATAAAACGCCAAAAAATAAAAATAAAAGGAAAGCACCCTGGGCAGCTGATTCACCATTTCATGCTAAAGGACACGCTTCTGAATGAAGAGTCTTGACTCTGTTTGGCCTAAAATTGCCTATAGCTCCCCATCAAATGAGAAACAGTTGTGAGGTACCTGTATCAGAATAAGGTCCCTCCACCTATGGCAGCAAAATTGATCAAAATCCCACAGTGTTTATTTCTATGATTGTTGATGAGATTATATTTAATAAGGCCAATGCATTAACTGGATGCTCTGTATATTCTAATCATATAGTTATCTATAAATGATCCATGTTTAACTCTCTTAATTGGTGCTGTGTTTCCATTCACTTACATATTTATTTCTAGAAGTATGTAAGACTCATGAAACTTACTTGTGTCCAGATTCATGAGCAATTGTAAAAGCCAGTCCAAGGCCTGTATCTTCATTAATGGTGCAACTACGATATTTGCTGCACATGCCACTGATTGGTGCAAATCCTGAAGGAAGGAAGCAGTAGAATAGTTTGTTCCTCTACAGAATTCCAAATACATGTATCATCTGCACTGGTCCTGATAAGCCAGTCTATTGTGGTGCATGAAGATGGTTGTTCACTTCATCAGGTTTAACATGAAAGAATTACAGCAGACTTTTATTTGACTGTGTAAGAAGTATAATTCAAACCTAACTTCCCAAAATACCCTTGTAAAGATTATTCTTCCCCCGCCATGCCTTTACTGCTCCCAAATTAGGGAGGAATGACATTCAAAAAGGGCAAGTAGTCACAAAAAGAAAAAAAAAATATCAGAGTGGCTCAGAAATATTCTCAAAATCAAAAATATTCCTTGAAGAGGTGACAATCCAAAAGGACGTCTTTAGATAGCTTATTTTGCCACTTTTTCTGGGGCAATGATACCAGTAATACTCTTCTTCTTCTAGGTACCTCAAAGACAAATATGTAAAAATAATACTGTTCTTTCCTCTTCAAGAAGGCTAACGTTATGTGCAAAAATGGACTTTTTTATTTTAAAACATTTCAGTCTCCATCAGTCAAGATGCTGCTGTTGACACCCACGAGTTTCTCAGAATGTGTTTTCATATCATACCTAAAGTATCACAGGGCTCATTTTTCCAAGAGCAGATATCAAAACCCGTAAGCAAGATGGCATGGTCATGGCGCTTTCCATTCTTCCCAACCAGAGCAGACTGCCATTGACAAAAGCTGTTCAGTGACTGGTCCGCATGGTGGTTAATCAGTAATCCTCCCTGTAGATATTTCACAGACACAGAAATAAGGTGCTTCCATCAGTACTTGAGAAAGGTGATTGAAACAATAAGAGTTGGTGAGGGAAAAAGGAATTAGTTTTTCATATCTGTTCTATATAAACTTATGTATTCCCATGTTAACTGTCTGTGATGACCAATTCAGTTGATGAGTGGATCTATTACAATTGTAAAATAAAACTGCGTCTCTCCCCAGACACATAGATATTTTCACAGTCAGTGGTTGGAATTACAGTGTGCAAATATATCTGACTCCTGATAAAGCTGAACACTAAAACATTTTCAACATTGTGATTAAAATGTTTGGAGATTTCTGTGGAGGAGAAGTATTATGCAAGTAGATCAACCCATCACAAATTCCTTTTCATCAAAAGAGATTTTGTCTTCTTTTGTCTCAGCACCCTTGACAAAAGAATTGGCTCCACTTCCACATTTTGTTACATGTTACTTTCAGTTTGGGACTTTTGACTCGTTCCCCCTTCTGATCATCACATGCTGGAAAGCCCAGTTTAAAATCTTTTTATTTATTTAAATACTTCTTAAGTAGATTTCTCATTCCAGCCATTGCTCTTCAGAAAAATGATGGAAGTTGTTAAGTTTTATCTTACTGGAAGCATTTCAATGTTTCTGAAGAACATTTATATGAAATGAAGATTTGAGTATCAAAAACAGAGAAGCAGTGAAATGCAGAAAGTGTGATTTTGGAGGTTTTTGTGATTTTAATCTTCTTATGCCTTATGCCTTTATGTTTATGTTAAGAAACCTCTAATGAAAGTTCACGTACATAACGTGGGAACACCCGATGCTCCCTGTGAACAGTAGCAAATGAAGTATACCACACAAAAATTCTGACACAACTTACAGGCTCTTGTTCCAAAAGAAGAAGGCTCACAACAATAATGTTTATATCACTTCCAATTGTTCCATCTTTAAACAGACTAGAGACCTGCAACGATTATTGTAGAGGAAATATCATCTACATGTTTTTTTTTTTTTAATAGACTAAACATATGTATTGAGTCATTGCATTGGGCTTCAGTTTTCAATGAAAAATTAATGGAGTTATATACCTTGTAGGTTTAATCCAGAAGAGCTTAACCCAGAAGAATTATGCCCCAAACCACTACACCTATTCAAAAAAACTTGAAAACTTTCTATTGATTTCAATGTGCTTTGTTCTGTCCTTGGTCTCCTGTGTCAAGTGTAATCAAGTTCAAAGTTCAAGCTTTGTAGTACAAAGGAAAACATATTTAAATTATATTATCTTTCTCAAAATAAATTTGGGCTTTCTCAAATAAATTTTTGTGTCAAGGAGAGACATCAGACAAAACAGTCTAAGCTTCATGATACTAAAAGAAATGAAAGTTTCAATTTCAGAGTACCTGCCTTTTTTGTACTACACAAGAAGTGGTTTAAAATTTAGTATTTTAAATATTTTCCAATTTTTTTTTTTTTTACCCTACAGTACTGTTGCCAGACCTGTGATAAACTAGGGATGTATTTTTCAAGAGATTTTTGATGTAAGTAATACATTGGATGAGGCTTGATGAAAGGCTTGTGTAAGGTGCCCCTGCTCCTTTTGGTATCACTATTTGTCTAATGAAAGATCCTACTCTGACATAACAATATTCCACAGGGAAAACATACTTCAGTTACACCACATCTTACCATATTCATAACTGTTAAGATGTATGTTGTTACGTTTTCCTTGCCATGTTTCTCCAACATTTTTTTATCTGCCACAACAAGGGTTTCAACATTTAGACTTCCATTTTTCTGAATTTTCGCAGACGATCTTTTGAACCTTGCAGAAGTCCCATATTCATCTGAGCGAATGTATGTCTCTTCTGTGGGTGGCTTAGGTGCATCTAAAAGGAAATAAAACTCACTTTTGGAAAGGGTTCAGATCACCCATGAACACTTTCATCAGAAAATGAAGTATCACAGGTTTAGAGCCTTAGATTATTTTTACAGCATGTGATTTAATACTTATGGCTAAGTTTTTGTATATTTATTAAAAAAGACCTGATTCATTCCTGAGGGAAGGATGGCTTCAGGGAGAAAGGGAAATGGGAGAACCACATTCGTATGCAATAAGCAGTTTAAAATAAGGAATTAATCTAATAAAATGGTAGCATCTGTGGCAAAAAATACACACAGAATTTTTAACAGAATATCTACATTTTTCCTTCCTTTTGATAACTTCCTGAGGTGCTTGGCATGTGCTACTTACATAGCAGTTGGTAAAAAACTCCTTTCCACAACAGATGTCCACCGTCAGTACAGAAAGCAGACACACACCACAAGTAAGATTCCTGCCAGCCTGCTATTGTGATTGACATTAGCCTTCTATACGAATTTGCCACTGAGG